AGCCTGCCATCTTGATCTCTGCAGTCGATCCGCTAGCTCCTTCAGGTTGCTGGCAATTGAAGTCAAACGGGTGTCTGAAAGACCAGCCCGGAGGAAGGTTCACGGAATTCTGTGTCCAGCCGTGAATGCTCGATCGGAACAACAGATGCAAGCGGAGATTACTGAGAGAGAGTGAAAGAGATGGAGTGACAACATAAGAACCTAATACAAAAACGTAGACGGAAAGAACTGATGTGGGAATGGTGAAAGAAGGGAGCATGCAACTAAAGTGGAGGCACTGCGGTTTCGCGAAGGAAGTCAGCTAGGGTGTATAGTTGTCTTGCTGCGGTCTCACCATATTCCCTTGCACAGTCATCGTCCAAGCCGCCGATCAGTAGCGTTCGATATTCCAGGCATGCGTTCTCATCCACCTACCCACCAACTCAAGAATACATGTTAATGATATTGGCGATCCTGATGAAAACAGTGATCGCGATAAGAATCCAGGTGCAAGGCAGGATGGTCGAGCATTGCAAGGGTCTGGGATCTTGCTGCTTGATGTTCAGGTCTTGCAGACACCGGTTCAGAGCCATCTCCACGGCCTTCCATCAAGACCAGTGTGGATGTCTGAGCTGCATCGAGAGTGGGAAGTACCTCCAGAAGCGACGGGCTCACTCTCTAGAACCTAGAAGACACGATATGACCGATTTGACTAGTTGTCGTGGCGGATGTGTCGGCTTGACCAGGCACATCAATTTCTCGAGGCTTATCTCAGCTCACTCCAATCCATCCATCCAACTATCTGGGTATGCAGTATTATGTACATATGTACATATACACCTATACGTCAACCTGGACATATGCATGTGCATATATCTACATACATACATGTGTACATATATATATATATATACATATTTATATATATATACACACACATATTTATTCTATGCATATACACATATGTTCATACACACATACAGACACGTATACATGTGTACAGATTCTACCCACATAAGCTTACCCACATACTTCTCCTGCATGTATGCATATATACGTACATACATATACAGGAATTATATGTATATATATATATATATATATATATATATATATGTGTGTGTGTGTGTGTGAACGTCATATGCATTTATATATATATATATATATACGTATATACGTATATATACGTATATATTATGTAAACCCACAAGCATGTGCAAACCTGAACCTGCTACCCATCTATCTATTATCTATTTACCCGTCTGTCTGTCTATCTCCGGTCACAAACATATACTGACGTATGACATCGACCCAAACGATATGTGTCATGTATTGTCACCCGGCACTGCTATAGATCTTCACAAATGCATGCTACTACATCAACTGTTGCAACGCTTTCTACAACATGTTGTAACGTTTCTGGACTGCTGTTCTTGTCACTACTTCTTCACATGTCTCTGCAGCTTCGTTGTTCCTGGCTTGCACCCTGAAAATTTCCTGGGCTGAGTTCCTGCTCGCACTCATTCTTGTTAACCTAGCTGCAACCAGGATGCTGTTCTGAGTTTTCACTGCAGTCGTTTTGTACTGGGGCTGCTTCGCCAAAACATGGTTCGTTACGCCTAAATCTGCTGTCCGCTCTGTGGCTTAGAGCTCCAGTATTTTGACATGAATCTGAAGAGTAGTTCCGAATCAAGGAACCGCTTAGGTGTCAACGTTCCAGCAGGTTCATGCTACAACGATCTGAGCGAAAGATGTCCTAGGTCCAAAACGAGCCTAATCCAATCTTCCCATGTCTGTTTCGGCTTGCTTGCTTGTTCAAGCTCACTGCTCATTGCTAGTTCGTACAAACCTTGCTCGTCTGTCCCCTAAACCCCCACAAGCAACCCAACACTCCAAACTCCTGACCCCTTAACTTACCTTTGGGCAGTAGGGAATGGAAGAATGGTGGTAATAGTGGTTATAATTGTACCCCATTCCTCCATTCCCTACTAACCAAAGGTAAGTTAAGCCCTACGCCTCGAGCACCAGTGGCTCGAACCCCACCGGAGGGTCTGCCGGCCGCTCCGGACCTAGCAGCCAGGGGTCGGGCTTCAGAAGCTTCTACGGGTGTATATGGTAGTTTCCGAAATTTAGCGGTGCCTTATTTTGGGGTCCTTACAATAAGGATCCTACTATTTAGGGTGCTATATTAGGGGCCCCCCCATATGGAAAGGACATACTGCAGGCTTCAAGTTTGCCGGGCTTGAGGGCTCCGGGTGTAAGGCTTAATCGCTTGTTACAAACTGACATGAGGCGTTTGTGAGCCTGACGAAAAGGTGTGCAAGATCTTTGCTCCTGGTTACTTCCGCGTGTCTTCAGTTTTCTGAAACGGTAGTGGGGGCCATTTTGACAGGTTTCCGTGGAGTCTACGAGTCCTTTTTGTGATCAGTGGGTCTGACTAGGCTTTCCGAATTGCCCGTATGTCGTGTAGGAGCGTAGGGGTCTGCATGACATGATTCATCGGCGGCCACAGAACGGTATTGTTACGACCTTTGCTAATTGTGCTAAATATACGTTAATAGCCTAAGCTTCTACGTGGGGCATGCTATGGTTTTCCGACAGCATGTCCCGGGCATTCGGCTCATGTAGCGTTTGGAACCGAGCCTGGGAAAACCCGAACCTTACTTGTTGGCCAGATGGCACCAAGTCTTACAGGGTGAAGAGTTCCCTCAAAGGTGGTCGTCTTCTTGAAGGAGTCCTTCCAGTAGAACCTCAACCTACAATTCATAATCCGTCATAAGCCCACACCCCAAGCCCCATAGCTAGCCGGCTCTAAGTTTGCCGGACCAGCTTCATACCTCGTGTAGACGTAGGGTTCAGGGTTTTCCTTCACGGCTTCTGACCGAACTCTTCCAAGGTTAAAGAAGGCCTCGAATGATGCATGGCTGTAGGCTCTTTGGGGTTTAGCGGGTTTTTGGTTTAGGCCTCAACCCTGAAGCACGCGAAACTTTAGGGTTTGGGGCTTTTGGCGTGACGCCTTAGCATCTGCAGTGCTTGAAGCCGAAACCTTGTGTCGGATGTGGTTGATATTGCACTTACATCTATTTATAGTTATAGTCAGTCCCTTCGTATACATACGAGATGGACGTAAGGGTACACTTAGAAAAGCTGTGGCCGCGGCTGAAGACCAGCGACCTCAAGCACCGGCAGATTGGCACTCAGGGACACGCTGAAATGCCAAATGAACTTCTGCCCTGGACAGCCAGAAATAGTGTGGAAGGCAAAGCTGGTGGGTGCAATGAAGGGGCACTGAAGGTTTCGGACTGCATTCATCAGCAAAACCCTCAGACCAGAACATGAGTTGCTGCTCAGGGCTTAGAGGCGTGAGGGACTAAGACTACATTCGACGCTCTAACAGAACACTTGGTAACCGCAACACGACTGAAACCTGTGGCCCCGGCACATTCATCAGCATGGATGGTGGGAACCCCTCTTCCGGCGTGCGACCTGATGCAGGCAACGCTTCTTGGAGCAAGCAGGCATAGAATACAAACACATCTCACATAAATACACAAGTAAATGGACAAACAAATAAATGTTAAACTGTATATGAAAATATCTATAGAGAGAGAGAGAGCGGGAATATATTTATAACTGTGTATATAGGCATGCATGCATATGTATGTATGTATATGTATAATGTATATGTATGTGCATATGCATGTGCGTGTGTTCTATGAATTTGCATGTAAGCTGTCCATGCGGGTGGCCGTGGGTGAACTCTGAGAGATGCCAAGCACAGCAGAGGTATCCGGAGGGCTTCCTGCACATCGCCTACAAAACAGGTTTTGCATCTCGGCACCAGGCATGTCCACGAGATGTTCGGCATGCGCCGGTATGCCTGGCTGGGTCTAATCTTCCGTTCCGTTGCACTTGAAAGCTTTGAATGTGGGCAGAGGATGAACATCCGCGCTTTCGTCAAAGGCATGGAAAGTGTCTTCTGGGTAAATTCCATCCAAGAACTGACGATCTAGACTGCAGCCAGGGAGTCGGAGCATCTGCAAAAGGAGATTGTTGCGTAGGGCCTAGGGTAAACCACTGCCTTCATGACACTGATGTCCTCGAAAGGCTGCGCTATGAGTCGCAGGTCGTCCTCGACGATCTTTCCTCGCTAGACCGCCCAACGATGAAGGCATTCAAGACACAAACGCGGTTTGGCAGTTGATGGACACACCAAGGTTGCATCAGGAGCCATCCAACATCAGGGTTCCGGGATCTGAAGGCAATTCGGAGCTTTCCGGCACAAAACGTCACGAAGAATCGCAAACGACTGTTCACATGAAGAGGTGCAGCAGCAGCAGCAACAACAACAACAACAACAACAACAACGGCAGCGGCAGCGGCAACAGTAACAGCAACAACAACGGCACCAGCACCAGCACCAGCCAACACCAAAACCAACAAAAACAACAACAGCAACAACAACCACAGCCAACAGCCAACAGCCAACAGCCAACAGCCAGCAGCCAGCAGCCAGCAGCCAACAGCCAACAACTCCAACAACAACCAAACGCGGCAACAAAAGCAAGAACAGAACCAAAACAGCAGCAGCAGCAGCAGCAACAGCAACAGCAACAACAAGAACAACCACTACTACTACTACTCCTCCTACGACTGCAACTGCGAGTCTTACTACCAAAGCAACAACAACAACTACTACTACTACTACTGCTACTGCTACTGCTACTGCTACTGCTACTGCTACTGCTACTGCTACTGCTACTGCTACTGCTACTGCTACTGCTACTGCTACTGCTACTACTGCTACTACTGCTACTACTGCTACTACGCTACTGCTACTGCTACTGCTACTACTACTACTACTGCTGCTACTACTACTACTACTACTACTACTACTACTACTACTGCTACTGCTACTGCTACTGCTACTGCTACTGCTACTACTACTACTACTACTACTACTACTACTACTACTACTACTGCTGCTGCTGCTGCTACTACTGCTACTGCTACTGCTACTGCTACTGCTTGCTACTGCTACTGCTACTGCTACTGCTGCTGCTGCTGCTGCTACTACTGCTACTGCTACTGCTACTGCTACTGCTACTGCTACTGCTACTGCTACTGCTACTACTACGACTACTACTACGACAACAACTACTACTACTACTACTGCTACTACTACTACTACTACTGCTACTGCTACTGCTACTGCTACTACTACTACTACTACTACTACTACTACTACTACTACTACTACTACTACTCCTACTACTACTACTACTACTACTACTACTACTACTACTACTACTACTACTACTACTACTACTACTACTACTACTACTACTCCTACTCCTACTCCTACTCCTACTACTACTACTACTACTACTACTACTACTACTACTACTACTACTACTAGTACTAGTACTAGTACTGCTGTTTCTACTAGTAGTTGTGGACTGAAGTGCTTGCAATGCGGCGAACACCAGGGCCTTCAACAATGAAAGTTGGTTGGAACATCCGGAAGGCACAGCCGTAGCTGCCTCAGCCGTAGTCCCACAGCCCTGCGGATCTCCCCCAACCTGTCCAGCCGAGCACGCGCTTCTTTCGGGTGAGAAGACTTCGGCGATTCCTGCTTAGACCTTCGAAAGGGTGAGACAAGCCGCTACGAGCTCCTGGACACTTTGAGGGCTCGGACTCCGATTGTTAGCATGCAGGGAAAATCGGAACCAACAGGCATTGTGTGAAGCCTGATCCGCTTGGCGGTAGTGAGGCCGTTGTCAAATGAGCCACTTTACACATACACGAAGTCACTATGATACAGCCGCACAGGGCATCACTCCAAATCTATATCATTTTCTTGCTTCCGGCTTGTTCCAATAATGTTGACATGTTGCTTCTGTGCCGCACGCTTTCCACGGTTGGAGAAGAAGAGGCGGGAGACCTCCCCCATGTTCGTGCCGAGAAGGGGTTTCACCTTCTCGAGAATCTCCCCCCGCTTCTCGTCCGCCTTTTCGGGACGCAGCAGGACCCTGCCCCGTGGTATGCAGCGGTGGACGTTGCGCATGAAGTTCACCAAGTTCGTGGTTGACTTGGTGAGCTGGCGGGTGACTTCTTGGATGTCAGGAAGCATTTGATCAGCCACGGCCTCCTGGCGCTCCATCCTGAGTGACAATACGGACGTGTATGTGTATATGCGGGTATATCTACATATATATATATACATACATACACATAAATATTCAAAAACAACACTCTATATGTGTGTATGTATATATATATATATATATATATATACATACATATGCATGCATCTATCTGTATATATACATATATATATATATATATAGAGTGAGCAATAATAAGGTTTTGTTTTCATCACAGCTTACTTATTACATCAATAAGGACCCAGCAGCTCGTGGACCGCTGCCTGCAGGCGCCTCAGGGCATTGCCCACCCTTCGGTTGATGGTGAAAAGATCTTTCGCTTTCACCTCCCCAGCAATGATGCGTAGGCCCTGGGCGAACTGGTCTACTTCGATGCTGCCTGTACCCAGGTCGATCAACTCCCAAAGCTCCTGTCACACTTTTTCGCTCAGGGTCTCCAACGAGGTCGCGCATGTTTTGGGAACATTTGTCACTGGAGCTGCCAAAATGGTGATTAGAAGGATCAAGACTCCTTGCAACCGTCAGAATGATTGCTGCCATTACTTGTAGCATTCTTTCGCGTCGATTGAAATTCATGGTGGCCCGCCACAGCAGCAGCAAACCGGCAGCAGCAGGCGGAGCAGTAGGAAGCAGCTGCAGCGGAAGCAAACATCATAGCATCTGCGCTGATAGGAGCAAAAGGACAAACAGAATTCGAACCAGCGTACGACTAGAAGCAGCAGTGCTGGTATATCTTCTCATTGTGTTTTCAGGCTGCTGCCTTTGGCAATGCAGTCTTACTTCCTGGGCATCATTCTCAATGTTACGATAACCGCAGAGACTCTTGTTAGAGTATGGAGGCTGTCAAGAAACCCTAAACCCTAAACCTTAAATCCTACTCTGACCTACTCTGAAGAGTCCTCGGCATCATCGATCTCTAAAGTGGTAAACTTGGTCTGGATCTGAGGATTGTCACTCACGGCATCCAGATACTCCTCGTAGTTGAGGCTGCCCGTCCCGCTCTTGTCCATCTCCATGAATAGGGTCCGGACCTCTTCGATGAGCTTGTCGCTCTTGATCTTCTGTTCCTGTGCGACCATCTCATGGTCGTCTTGCTGTCGTTTGAAGGCTGCATCGACAATGGTGGCCGTGACCAGATTCAACAAACAAATCTCGACTATAACAATGTTCATGCCAATCAGGAGAGCTGCAAGCGGGTTCAAGGCCCCAATAGGTCGGGCAATGGCCGACCAACTATCCAAGGTCACGATCTGGAAGAGCGTGAAAACCGCATCAGGGACGTTGGAAAAGTATAAGATTACGTCGGGATGGTCTTTAGTTCGCGGGTCCTGGCCTATCAAGACGACAGCCAGCACAGACCAAATGAACAATGTGGTGCCCATCACCAGGACTGTGTAGAGCAGTATTTTACCACTTCCAAGGACCCCCTGGAACAGGTTCCACAGTGTACGGAGACTTCTGTACTTTCTGATGAGTTTCATCAGCTTGACCAGCCGAAACAAACGCAGGACCGCAAACGGCCGTATCAAGGCAGGGTCAATTCCAAGCGGCACCAGGATCCATATGGGAATCACGTTTGTGGCTAGCACCACTACGACGTCAAAGATGTTGGAACCTCGAAACCACCATCGCCATCCTTCGCAACAGTAGCGCAAGACCAGCTCCACCACGAAAATCACCGTGAACACGAAGTCAAGGATCGCATAAAGCTCTGCACTGGACTTATCCTCCTCGGTGCTGGAAACCTGGAAGCCGATCATTATGGCATTCGCGAGCATCACCAGCCCCATGGCGGATTCAAAGTAGTCTGACTCCACAATGTGAACGAAAAGGCTTGTATTAACCTCCTCGCTCTTCTTGGCATCTGCTTCCTTCAACTGCCTCTGAAGCCAAGTGTAGCCGATCGCGGTCAGGAACTTCTTCCAAGGTGTGTTCTCCTCTCTGAGTAGGAGGTATTGCTTCAACATGACGTCAGCATTGTGAGTCCAAAACTGCGATGCCTTGTCCGTGGATCGTTCTATCGTCTGGCCCATCTTCAACAAGGTCTTCAGCTTGTGAGCTTCCTCTTTGGAAAGCCATCCCGTCTTCACGCGCAGATCGACCTCTGCAACCGCCTGTGCAATGTCCTCGTGGGAGTGCATGCTGCGGCTACACCATGGCGATATGCGCAACCTCCGCTCTTTGTCAAGTATAGGTCGTGCCGCACCACATTGGCTTTCTAGAGGTACCTAAATCAACTCATAGAGACCTAACATGAAGGGTTGCCTGTCTTATGGCCTTAGCATGGGAACCGCCGCACAAGTCTTGATCCAAAGGCGCGCACATGCTTTTCTGATACGATACTAGCTGTGTCGTGGACCTCCAAGGCCAAACCAAAGCAGTTCCAGGACCAATCTGGGTGTTTGTTTCAGTGTCGAGATTGAAGCAAGTGTGTCAACGGAGATATTATGACCATGGTTCTAGGATTGTTGGCTGCTCTTGCAGTGACTCGATGCTACAAGTAGCAAGACTGGTCTGAATATCATTATGAGTCTTAAATAAGAACTTTCAAGCTTGTCTCTAATTGCAACCTTATGTTTGGCCCCAACAGGTGAAACATTTGCTCGACAATTTTCATGGCCGTTTTATACATCCAGGCCTAAGCCGTGAAACCGTCCATGGTACGGCACAGTGACTTCGTAGAAAGCTTCATCGCGCATGCCCTAACTCCGGAGAATCCGGGTGGAATTTTGTTCGAAGGTTTGGCCAAAAGTTGCTTTCTCAAGGGTTTAACTCACAAGCTACTTGCACCCTCAGTCTTCATGGAATCCAGTTTTAGTTTCGTGCCGGAAAGAAGTTCTTTCCAAGCCACAGCAGGTTGCTGTAATGACCATATGAGCCCTAGATAAGAACAAGCTCAAGTGATTCCGCGATTTGGCTGTGAAAGCCCCTTAACCTGCTAGGAGTCCTGGGAGGACGCTGGGATCCAGGGTCGCGGTCGCCAATGCCGGCACCTGGGACCCACACCCCTAAACCCCAATCAATCTGAGTGGGCTTCCACGAACGCGAAACGATGACACTATACCTTTCCACTTTGGAAGATGAGCCCTTTCTACTCTCTACGGGTTTCGGTTAAAGTATCTTCTCATCATTTGGGTTCTTACAATGCAAACACGTCTAGTAACTAGTACTGTTCGTATTTAACCGCTGCCACTCTGAAGCTCTCACCCCTCAGCTCAGCGTGCCTTCAGGGATTGAGAGCTGAAGACAGGATGGTAAACAAGCGACAAACATGAAGAAGAAGAATACCATGATGCTAATGATGGTGATGCTAATGGCAATTTCGCAACAATAATCGTTACAATACTCGTGCGAGTGAGACGGGTCGTACATAGGGGGAACGAGGAAGCAGGCCAGGAAGCATCTTTGCTTTGTGATTGTGATTCCACCAAAGCTGCAGCTGCCCTAGGCCCTAGTCCACCAATATCAGTTCTACCATTAGCGTGGCTTCCGCTGGTAGAGCTCCGAGTAGCGGGTGTGCTACAACCATCGTTGCGATTGCTAAATCTGTGACACCATGGCCACACGTGCTGCTAAAGCTACCTTGGGCTCGGTCTGTAGAAGCAAGGACCGGGCAGTCACAAAAGAGCACAAGTTCCTGTAAAGATGGCGTCTGAGGCGATACCAACAAGACCAACCGCATCAGCAACACTAGCAGACTAGCAGTGACAAATGATACTCATGCTGGTGTTTGCAAATCGTGCCACCGCTGGCAATCCTGCACACCAAAACTTGCTGCAATTGACTACGAACAAGCATTGGCATGGCACACAACAAGTATTCTACTACTGCGTGTGAGCACTGATGAAACAGCTGTCGCAGCGGATCGTACTACATGTACTAGATTATGGACTCTTATACTGACGGTGCTGGTAAGCAAGAAGTGCGAGATATCTTTGCTGCTACAGTTGCTGCCGATTGTACCCGTATGAAACATACTGTTGAACGGATAGTGAACATGCGCAGAACCGTATTGCTAACAGAAGGAACAGAACAAACAGCGGCATTCAAAAGAGTAGTCCTCATGGCGCTGCTTGAAAAGAGTCAGTACAGCCATATACCACCGCATTCTGCAAAACGGCCACACGATTGACCAATAGAACTGAAACCACCAAACTGAACCCTAAACCCCAAACTGAAAAAGCAAAGGCGATGAGAACGACTCTGTGGCTCAGGCTTCTGTCGGCACCCCAAAGTCACACCAAATCTGCGTAGCGCGGCGCAAGATCTGCCGAGACTTCCGCAGTTCATTCGGGTGGAGTTTAGGGCTTGGTGCATAGTCTACCAAACGGTACCATACCAGACCATGCCATACCCGTACCGTGCCTCTTAGCTTGTACAGCACGAACAGCAAACATAGCCAACATACATACCATACATACCATACATAACAATCATACATGCATTCATACATACATGCGTACATACATACGTACTTACATACATACATAGATACATGTCAATGTCATTTAAAGCAATTACATATGTGCATATATGTATATATACTATATATATATATGCACATATACATATATATATATATATAGAGGCAAACACATACATACATACATACATACAGAGATACATATCTATGTGCATACATCTGCAAATATGTGTACAGGCAAATACATACATATATACATATGTGCACACACAGACATACGTGCATGCATGCATACATACATGATGAACAATATACACAGTAAGTACATGTATACGTGTACACATATGTATAGGTGCACGTACATACATACATACATACATACATACGCACATAGACATACATACATGCAGGCATGCATGCATATAAGCACTAAGCACATGGATGTGTAGACATGTATAAGCACATACATAGGTACACACACAGACATGCGTGCATACATACATCCATGCATGCATACATACATACAGTATACACAATACAAACAACAAGTACATGGATGTGTTTCTATGCAGATGCACATACATGCGTACACACACACAGAGACATACGTACATACGTACATACATATATGCATGCATGCATACATACAATACAAACAATACGAACAGTAAGTACATGGATGTGTACATACGTATATGCACATACATACGTACACACACAGACATACGTACATACATGCATGCATGCATGCATACATACATACAGTATAAACAATATACACAGTAGGTACATGGATGTGTTTTGTCTATGCACATACACACGTACACACACACACAGACTTACGTACATACATACATGCATGCATGCATACATACAGTATAAACAATATAAAGACTAAGTACATGGATATGCATATATTATGTGAATATGAACACACCCAGGCCTGATACTGCTGCAGGGACTCGAACGTGCCGGTGATGTTCAGCGTGATGGGCGTGAAAGGGGGCACCAGAGTCGGCCCAGCAATCTCCAAGCGGACCTTTAAGGCCACGAAGAGTCGAGTTACGGTGTCTGAAGATTTGGGAGTTTCCGAAAATAGGGGACCCTAACATATAGTAGCCTAAGTAGTAGGATCCTCATTCTAAGGACCCCAAAACATACGTACCCCTACTCTTCGGAAACTCCTATTTAGGTGCGGGAACCTTTACAAGAGTCTGCTGGCTTCAGGGTTGAAGCTTAATTGAGCAACTGCACGGTGTGGGATGGTGTCTTGGGCTACATGGCAGTACTCGCGCATCGTGCTGCCTGTCTCATGAAGAACACGGGCAGGGAGTTCGACCAGAGCATGCCGTCAACGGACAGCGACAGGTAGGCCCTGAATCATGGACGGGCAGAGAGGCTTCAAGGGTTTCGGTTTCGTGTCTCAAGCCACTACGCGCTTCGGGTATCAAGCAGACAGTTTCGTCCAGGCTGGACACCTGCAATTACCATGTACCCTTACAGTGTGAGCCCAAAGGTTGGAAGCCCAATAGCCTCAATCCTCAAGAACGAAGTATAGGGAATCCCAGGACCATTTATCTTTAATGCGGTTTCCAACTCTTTGGGTTCGCTATAGCCGAACATGTGATGTCACTTGCTTCGAGCTCCCGGCTGCTCGTTCAGGTAGAGCCTGAGTTGGTGCGAGCGAAACAGGTGAAGATGTGCATGCATGCTTGCATGATTGAAAAACATACATCTGTACGTATCAAGATATAAACATGGCAGACATACTCGCTGGATAGACAGACAGACAGACAGACACATAAATAGATAGACACATGGGCAATGGGTGGATAGATAGGTAGATGGAAACCGAAAGAGTTCGCTGAAGATAGATTGAGACACAGAGAGAAAAAGATAGATGGATAGACAAACAACCAAACAAATAGACTGATTTGATCTGGTCGAAACCACATGTATACGTCTACCTGTGCTGCAGCAAAGTTTCAGATACTGCGGCACTTGGCAGACCACCTGCCAAGCTCTTGACAACATGTCTACACAAATCGTTTTCAAAAGAGATGCAAAGTCCTTCAAGTCTCCTCCTGCCTCTGTCTCATTCACCACAAGTGCTGTCAGAAGCCGCTCCTGGACAGGCAGTGCGGCGCGAGCACCATCAAGCCCCAAACCCAAAGCTTTAAAAACCCCGGACCTGGAAACCCAAACGCTGATGTCGGTCCTCCATACCGGGAAACTGCCACTGCAAACGACACCTCGGTAGCGGTCCAAAGCCGGCTCTTTTCGCGGATCCAGTAGCATCTCATAACACGACTGATGCCGATAATACGAACAAGAAGGACAAGTACGGATACTGCTCATCATGCTAGTGACAAAATCAGAGCAATGAAGCAGCGTTAGTAATCGATCGGAACCTATCGGAGAACTCCCTAGTTCCAAAGACATTCCATTAGTCTGACCAGCAGCAAGGTTCGCCGATACTCCAACTAACTGCTGCTTCTACTACCACCAACAACATCATTACCATCACCGCTACAAAATGCCAATATCATGCGACTCCTGCTCCTCCTCCCCTTCTCCTCCTCCTCTTCCTGCTGCTGCTGCTGCTGCTAGCAGTGATAGTGAAGTGGTAGTGAAGTGGTGGTGATGGTGGTGATGGTGGTGATGATGGTCGTGGTGGTCGTGGTCGCGGTCGAGGTCGTGTAGTCGCAGGCATTGTAGTCGTAGTGGCAACGACTTTGTCCCTGCTCTTCCCTGTCGTTCTCGACATTCTCCAGTCTTAGTGTTCAGATCACCGGTAAGGGTTTAGCGGTTTAGCAATCAAAGAGCTCCGGTTTTCAACGCAGAAAAAGTAAATCTTCAACCCGAGATAGAAGGTAGTCATGGAACGACTCTGAGACCACTCCTTCTGGGTGCCAGGCCGCTTCGTCCGGCTTCGCGCGGCATGCTTCAGAAAGTGCTCCCTTGGAGTGGGACTAGGGCTACAGTAAGATGAAGATGATGGCAAAAATGGTGGTGGTCATGAGCACAAGCACGGACCATAGCCGCCAAAATGCAAAGATCAGCGCACGAACAGCACTCGTATCTTCTGGGCACTGGGTTTTCGACTCCCCGAAGACTCGCAGGTATAACAGGGGCACGCTGCTGGTGTCATTGCGCTCCACCACCGCCATGATCTGACAGGTGGGGGTTCAGAAGTTTAAAGCTTAGATTAACACCGGAGGAGTACAATGATGCGGAAACGCAGTGCGGAAGGGCGAGGGAGGGTGAGGACGTCTCAGAACTTTTCTGATTTTTGCAGACTCCAAAGCCAACTGAGGGAGTGTCGGGGCTAGCAACATGGGTGGTTGTCAAAATTAGGGTCCCTTTTTGGGTAGCCTAAATAATAGGTGCCGTGCTATAATAGGGACCCGAAAAAGGAGCATGATTTCCATAACCACCCACATGTAGCCGTGTAAACTGAAGTCTCACCTCAGGCTCGACACGGAGAATCTGCACCGGGGGCAGAAGGTGGATGTCCGGCAGAGTGCTGACCTGAAAGCCGCCAGTGGCACCACCCCACACCACCCTTAGCCCTGACTCCAAACTCGCATATCGGAAATGCTAGAGCATGAACCTGAACCCAACCCAAATCCTAAGCCCAAAAGCCTCGAACAACAACTCACTCCGAAACTCCAGACACCTTCAGCGGCCCGAAGCCCTCTAGCCGCCTCGCCTGCGTCCGAAAGCCGGTGCTCTGCTTGGCCGCCAGGAACACCATCAGCGAACGGTTCGTCGTCAAGTTCCCCCTGGCTTTATTGGTGGTTGCAGTGCTGGTAGTCGCAGTAGCAGTAGAAGTAAAAGCGGCAGCAACAGCACTCTTAGTAGCAGAAGCAGTAGCCAGGAGTAGGAGCAGGAGCAGTAGGAGGAGTAGTAGGAGGAGCAGTAATTAGTCGTAGTCATCGTCGTAGTAGTAGCAGCAGCAGGAGTAGTTAGTAGAAGTAGTAGTCGTTGTGGTGGTGGTGGTGGTGGTGGTGGTGGTGGTGGTGGTGGTGGTGGTGGTGGTGGTGGTGGTGGTGGTGGTGGTGGTGGTGGTGGTGGTGGCTGTGATGGTGGTGGTCGAGTAGTAGCAGTACTGGTAGTGGTAGCGGTAGCGGCAGCGGCAGCGGTGGTAATGGTAGCGGTAGCAGTGGCGGTAGTGGAGTAGTGGTAGTGGTAGCGGCAGTGGGAGTGGTAGTGGTAGTTGTCCACCACCACCACCACCACCACCACCACCACCACCACCACCACCACCACCACCACCACCACCACCACCACTACGATCACCACTGCTACTACTCAAACCACTATGTACATCTACTTATTATTTGTCGGGAAGTCCATTCTTTGAGATGGCATGTCAGCGGAAGCAAAGGCTCTGCAACGATCCACCTCAGAAAGCCCACACCCTCCAACAATGAAACAGCCTCATCGTCATCGCCAGAGGTGGGACATTGCACCGAATTTCGCTGTCCGAGAGCCATTCCGCGAAGTTCATGGCTAAGGCTCCGCTCCAGTTCATGGGAGCACCTTCCAAAGCAGAGGGCCATGCAGGCAGAGGAGACAAGTTCAACAATCCCCAGCTGCAGAGTCTTGCTGGGCCAAGGCTTCCCTCCCGTTGCCTGCATGTGCACAAAACGGCTCTCGAACATCTTGCCTCAGGACGATGCAGAATCTGACGCTTGGAAACGCAGTCAAAGTGAGCTCACGGCCATTGGTGCGTCCACTGCACTTCTGGAACGGCCAGGCAGGTGTCCTGACGGATATCGAGGAGTTTGCGTTCAGGGCTTCAGGGCATTGGGGTTTGAGGGCTTGGGAACTAGGTTCGAGTGGTTAGGGCGTCCTTTTGCCACTGCGTGTTACTCAGAAAACCTGGCCGTCTCTCCTGGATTTCAGGCCCAACTCCAAGAACTTGCACAGAATGCTCGTGCCAACCCACATGAAGAGCAAAACTAGATACCAGTCAAGGTTTAGGGCTTTAGGATTTCAAGTTGTGCTCCGGAGGACCAGAATTCATGGTGGAAGTCCTGCACCAGATTCCGCCACATCAGCTCCTGTTGCACGCCAAAGGCCTCGAAGATGTAACCTGCCAGTACTTGCATCCGGCATTGACGCAGCTCCGACGTCAAGCTGCTGAAACAAAGCTCTTGCTGGAAGCTGTTGCTTCCCCAAGCCCCATTAGGGTTTAGACATAGGGTTTAGGGTTTGGGGCCTTGGATTCCTAGCTGCTTAACACCCCAAGGATGACACGCTGACACGCAGCCCATACCTTGGGACGAGTGGTCGAAGAAGATGCAAGCCATCTCCACCTCCCATGGTTGACGGCTTCTGGATCCGAGTGCTACTTTCTGACGGCCTAAAGTTAAAGTGCTGAGGTAGTTTTCAGGATTTACTAGTCCAACAAGCCTAAGGATACGGAATACAGCTGTGGTTGTGCATAGGCCGCAGTTTGCTGGACGTGCCTCCTCCGATCTTGGGAAATCAATCCCGGTGATCTTCAGCTCAAAGGACTCCCCCGTCGTCCACACCGTAGGGGTCTGCAGGGATGAAGGTTTCGGGCTACGGGCTAAAGGAACGGTTGGGTTCAGAGCCGGAGTTTCGGTCAAAGCGGAGGGCGTCAGAACACTTCACTTTCCAGGAATTTCGTCTGCATTTCCAGCTGCTCTTGCTGCAAGGCTGAGGCACAGGCCATGTCGACAATAGTTGGTGCCGGCAGGATGCGTACCGGCTGGCCTTGGCAGGATCATCTACATCAATCCCCATCCCAGTGCCCCGTGTACAGTGACTCAATCCTAAACCCTAAACCCTTAACCCCCAAACCCTAAACCCTTAACCCCTACACCCTAAACGGCCCTAAACCCTAAACCGGTATCTTGGGACTCGTGCGGACCGTTCGGGGCGGTGTCGCTTCTAAGGGCTGTGCCGAGCACATCGCTGACCGTGGCTTTCCCATCCAAGGAGATCGAGACGTTCATCGATTCCTTGACAAGGCCAACACAGAAGGGAGTTTCCGAAAATAGGGGACCGACATATAGCACCCTCAAGAGTAGGATCCCTGTTCTACGGACCCCGAATAAGGTACCCCCCAATTTTCGGAAACTCCCAAAAGGCAGCTCCCAGCTCCGAAGGCACCACAGGAGCAGGCAGAGCATTAGTGTAAGAGCCCCACCCCAATCCCATTCTGCGGGCTCGGCAGAGGCGGACAAGGACCTGGGCATCGTGAGAATCTCGATGCCTACAGTCCTGCATCTCCGTCCTCAGCTTCTGGGCTAGGCCCGGCATGCGAGTCCACCCACGCATCGGAACTGGGCACGTGGCAGACCACCCTCATGGTGTCGTTCCAAGCATAAATCGTGGCCTGTTTAGACTTTAGGTCTCGAAATCAAAAGTGGTTCAAGAGTTCGGGCCCTGAGCCCCAAGCTGGCCCCAAACTCATGGGAACCCTGATCGAAATTTCTGAGCTATATTGTCCGCATGCTCTCACGCCTTGGTGTTGAAGACTCCCATGGGTGGACCGACCTCGTGGGTGCTGCTACGACTCGAATGACGACGACACCACCACCACAAAGAACACCACAACCACAACCGAAACAGCAACAGCTACAGCCAGAGCAACAGCAACATCAACAACAACAACTCCTCCTTCACTCCTCCTCCTCCTCCTCCTCCTCCTCCTCCTCCACTCCTCATCACTCCTCCTCCGCCTCCACCTTCCTCTCCGTGTAACCTGTAGACTTCTTAAATTGGTACGGACAGTGGCTTTCTTGGCAAGTTAAGGGTTTAGGCGTTTGTGTTCGGATTGAGTAGCGAAAGCCTCTGAATGCTAGCGGGAAACCCTGCTACCACCAATACCACCACCTGCGAGCGAAGCTTGTCATGTGGACACAACGAGTCCGAAAAAATAGCTTCGATGCTTCCAAGGCGCAGCGGTGAACATGCACAACGCCTCGTAAACCGAGTATTGCCACTGAAGGAACTCTGCCTGGCCAAGTTTACATGGGATATGATACTGCTAACAGGGAACCACTTGAAGGTGTCTTGAAACATTGTGAGCGAAGCGCACCACTAAACCCTAAACTCTAACTCTGCAAGCCCAGCGCCCTGAACTCCTTGGCATGCCTCTCGAGCATACAACACCACGCTGTCCCCGATGTCGCCCGAAAAGCATGTGGCCTCCTGAGAGAAACAGTGTCATATGGGGCAACAGTAGTCAGTGACAATATCCATTAGGGTCACCCATCATAGCTGTTGCATTGGTTCTCTATGACCTGAAACTTAAGACTTAGTATATAGGGCTGAGGGTGGACATGGCGTTGAGGGTCAGGCAGGAGCCAACAAAATGGCTCTACAGAAGTCTACGAGGCTCAGTATACCCTGCATTGAAGCCTTTGAACACCTCAAGTGTATGTTGCTGGCAATGGTAGAGGTGAGTGATTGGAATGGTGGTGGTGGTGGTGGTGGTGGTGGTGGTGGTGGTGGTGGTGGTGGTGGTGGTGGTGGTGGCGGCGGCGGCGGCAGTGGTGGTGGTGGTGGTGGTGGTGGTGGTGGTGGTGGTGGTGGTGGTGGTGGTGGTGGTGGTGGTGGTGGTGGTAGTGGTGGTGGTGGGGGCGGGGGCGGTGGCGGACACATGCAAGCCGTGAAGCCCTCAAAACCTCCAACATTAAGAGTCCTTGCTCGGCCCGCACGGCCCGCACGCAAACATGCCCAACATACCCCGAAATCGAGAGGCAGGTCCTGCTGCAGTGAGAAAGCCCACCTCGGCAAAGAGCTGAGGCTTCAGGCTTTGGGTTCGTGGTTTTAGGTCTCAAGGCCTTTCAATCCTTCCCTCAGCCGTCTCGAATGGGCTGCAGGGTGTAGGATTTAGGGTGCCTCCCCACATTCTGGGAACTAGTTCGGAATCCTACATCCGTCCGCGCCCGAAACCCACCACCAGTAGGTAGTGAGGCGACTGCCGGCAACGGATGTGTCACCATCGAACTCAGTGGCTTGCTTGGGATAGAAAGTGAAGTCCACGGACGTCACCGAGAGCCTCGGCTGCTACTGGTTGGGCTGTGGGCTCTGAGCCTGGAGTTTGGGGATTCAATCTGCGTTGACTTAGAACTTTTCTGATCGTCGTAGCAAGTGCTCAAGGGTTGAGCTCCGAGCTCGTGCAACCAACTTGCCACCTTTAGCTTCGAAACTCCTGTCAGCAGTCAGCAGGGGGGGGAGCCCTCTGCAAGGCTGACTTCGGGCTACAGTCTATGAGATAACGACCCTGAGATGCGGTTGTCTGACGTGGCAAAGCTTTCGCTACCACTGCCTGCCGGATGGTAGGCGGGCGTTGTACCTGCCGCATGGTGGGGCCTGCTGCTCCACTAGGACCTCCCGCGACTTGATTTTGTAGCGGGTAGCATGCTCGCAAGTCTCTGCAAAAGGCCTAACAGTTGTTCAAGCGTCAACCTGTGGAACAAACTCCCAGGTCACAGTAGATCAAGCTCTCGTTGAAGAAGCGGGCGGGCATGTACAAGTTATCATCCTGAGCCAAACCAGCAAAGAGCACTCACGGCCAGACCACGACCTGAACCGTTAAACCCATCCATGCCTCAGACTCCCTCAGCGCAAGCACACACACACACACAGCCACCCACGGAGAGTTTGAGGTCCATCTACATCCCTCAGGCCATGGCAAATGCACAAGACCTCAGGCAGTCGGCAAAACAGGTAACATGAGCTGGGTTCAGGGTTAGCTTCGGTTTGAGTCTCTTGCCGAAGCTTGGGGTTTCGGGGCCACGCGACTTTGAGGCCACGACAGGCGCCCCTGCTGCGAGAAGCCATTGCCCACGACGGCTATCAAAGTTCCTGGTGTTGTCGGCTTGAGGATGTGGTCAACCCTAGATGCTTCGGAAAAGTGATCTCGAAACAGAAGCACCCATGCTTCTGAGAGTTGTAGCCTCCCTTGCAGATCGTATCCTAACATCTCCGGTCTGCTGACTGTGGTAGATATGAATTCCGGTTTGCCGACCCCCTGTTGCCTGTATGCAATTCAGGTCCACCTTCGCAGGCTTTGCGTTTGTAGCTTGTCTTCTTGAGGTCTGTGCACTGTAAACCCTTTTGAGAGCATCTCTCTGCCTGTCCTGCGAGTCTTCAGACAGGGACGACATGGTGCAAGAATCAGCAATAACTACTGACGGTAATCACCTGAACTTCAACGAAGTACTACAAGCATTGAAGATCTTCAGGCATTCCGTGCCTCAGCAAGCACCACTGGCAGATACACCAGAGCTCGTCTCGACGCAAGGCTGCTGCTTTGCGCCGTTTGTCGAAAAATGACAGATTTGCAGAAGGAGCGCCGCGAGAGGTAGTATGAAAGCTTTGGCGAGCCCCCCTGAACCCGCTGCCAGCAACAAACCCTGCCTCCAGTAACGGGCCCCGAATCTGGGCGCACAGAGGAAATCCCCAACCGTGGCAGAAGCCGCACAGGAAATGCCTCAGTTGCCACGATCGCCCCCTCACGGGTTTGGGTTGGGGACGGGCGTTGGGATTCCGGCTTACAGGCACCCACGAGCAAGTGAGAACAGACGGAGATCGTTGTAGCTCGATCTGCTAAGAACGAAGGATTCCAAGTCCCAAGATGAGAACACAGAGAGCGAAAGGGAGAGGGCGAGAGACCGGCAGAGGTCACGAGCTTATGATGACCTCGACCTGTCCTTGGTGCTACACGCATCTGCACACAGTGCAGCACTGTTGACCTGCCACAGCCTGCTACGTACCAAGGTCGCCCACAGCACCCTTTAAGCCGCAAAGGTCACCTTGATAAATGCATATGTGAAAGACGATGAGGATGAGGGTGATGATAACATGGAGAAGATGACCATCGACGATGACGAGGACGACGTTGACGATCACAGAATCAGAAGCATAACTGGCAGGAGAAGTCGCAGTGGTGGTAGTGTTAGTGAGTAGCAGTAGTAGCAGTAGTAGTAGTAGTCGTCGTCGTCGTCGTAGTGGTAGTAGTAGTTGTTGTTGTTGTTGTTGTTGTTGTTGTTGTTGTTGTTGTTGTAGTTGTTGTTGTTGTAGTAGTTGTAGTAGTTGTAGTAGTTGTAGTAGTTGTAGTAGTTGTAGTAGTTGTAGTAGTTGCAGCAGAAGCAGAAGCAGAAGCAGTAGCAGTAGCAGTAGCAGTAGCAGCAGGTAGTTACTAGTTACTGGACTCCCACCCTGAACCCTACGCCCTTAGTCCAAGGCCCCGGTCCCATTGCTGCATTGTTGGCCGCGGTGCATCAGAGCCCAGGGCCGTGGGCTGTGCATCCAAGAGCCTCGGAGACCACACGGAGGCCAGGAGGAAGCCTCCCAGAGGCCGCTCCTGACGAGACCACACGGCTTGTGGGGTTTAGGCTTGGGGATTTAGGATCCTTTAAGGGCCTCGGGTGCCGGGCCTCTAAAAGCTGGGCTTGCACCGGACCTTTGGAGGGTTGAAGGATGGGAACATGAGGGGCTCTGTGATGGTCTGGCAAGGTTTGTTGGTTCGCCCAGCTTCGGAATGGTTTTTTTTCTACCCAGCTGGACGAGTTGAATATAGTCGTACAGCACAAAATGGATAAGCTTCGTATGAAATTCACTATCCTGCATCTGTAGATATATTCGGCTTGGCATGGTATCGCTCGAAAAGCCAAGGTACTCTTGAGCCTGCTGAAGCAGGAACTCGAAACAAGTCTCTCAGTTGCCCTGCAAACAACCCTAGACCCTAAACCCTAAGCCCCCAAAACCCTAAACCCTACATCCCTAAACCCTAAACCTTAAACCCTGATCCTTCGACTTAGGGCTGTCTCAGATACAAAGCTGGCCTCCACCACACGGGGCGCCGACAGCTGCGCCACGCACTCGAAGTAGGCAATGCCGGCCTTTGAATTGAAGCGGACTGTGGGCATTTTGAGGTTTAGGGATCAGGCTATAGGGTTCAGTTCATGCTACGCATGCTACGGGTCTATAATGTAAGTACAACAAGGGATGTTAAGGAATAGTATTGATGATTGGCGAGGCTTCTATATTCGGCTTTGAGGTGGTTTGGGTTTTTTGGTTTCATGAACGTGCTACAAGATACACTGGAGGCATAGCTGTTCTATATTGTTCTATATTGGGGAAACTATTGCCCGTTTGGGTTATGAAGTCAATAAGAAGCCGAGTTCTGAATCCCACAAGCCCTTGCGAAGAAATATCCGGACTTGATGTTTTGTAGACTCTGATCTGCTTCTTGCTGGATGCACCTCGAAGATAAGCTGACTCTGCTGTGCTTCCAGGCGCACCTGAAGGCGCACTTGAAGGTTCAGATTACACGTAGGCATTACAAGCATCATTATATCACCACCCGAGGGAAGTGTGACTAAAGTATGTAGTCATGCTTATAACCCTGCTTAAAACCAGGTCATGCAGCTTTTGACTGAGGCATCTTTTGACTAAGGCTTAAGATTTGGCTCACGGGCCCACGGCAGCATACCGACGGACAGCCCAGAAGACGACCCTTGAGCCTAAACCTTACAGTATGCCCTGATAGTGACTCAGCAGTGATCTTCTGATCAAACATGGTAGGCTTCTGCTTGAGCTCGGCTTTTCTTGAGCATCAGTTCTAAATATAATCGGTCTAGGGATTTTAAGTTCGGATAGGGAGAGGTATGACTGCTTTGCACCCACTGCACCAGGCGCAAGACTGGGACCTCAGGCAGGCTACCGAGCCCACCGATGGTCAGTAATCTTACGAGCCGTCCGAAATGTGCGGCTGTCCGTACAGCCGCACGCAGCTTAACCTTGCTAAAGCAGTCTCCGATTCCCGATCCTGCAGGAAGCAGGCAAGTCCTAGTTATGATACTGTTAGAAATTAACAGGAAGAACAACAACACAAATACAAACAGCAATGCTAACAAGAGCTACGATGGTCATAGAATAAAACAGTACTAACAATAATGAGACTACTAACAATACCAACAACACCATTGCTCGTAGTAGACACGGTAAGAACGGATATAGTTTCAATAATCATGTACTATTCTCGTAACAATAACAGTAATAACAGCAACAGCAGCAACAATAACAAGAAGCTGAACAATCCTAACAAGTATTAGCAATAACAAGAATAACAACGACTTGAACAGTAAAGTACTGATACTGACAGTAGTACTGAATCAGGACTGATACTCATACTAGTTCCGAAAACTAATACACTCCCACGAGCCTGCTCTGCGCTTGCTGGCTGTACCGATGCCTGCATCGCGATCTAGGTGGAGCGTTAGGATTACCACCTAGAGCTACTAATGCTACCAAGTCTTGCAAGATCCTGCCCCTCAGGGTGCTTGCCTCGTAAGACATATTGTCCGGCGACCAAGGCGGCATGTCGTCGGTGTCATTGAAATCTGGCCACGGGAATTGGCACGGAGGCATCATGTGGGGTTCGGAAGGCTTCGAGCCCGATTCCTTCCCCCCATGCCCCCATCGCCGGCTTCACGCCCTTTCCGGACATTGGGAGAGATGTTTGCTCCACAATCATGTGGTACCGTGCCCCCCCTCCCCCTCCGGTTACATATTCCGAGCGGGCGGGGCTGCAAAACCTACAGCCTCTCAAGCAGCTCCCTGCATTATGATATGTATATATACATAGACAGCATATACAGTTTAGTTTAGTACACGTATAGACACACAGTTAATTGTTCTTACAAAAAGTAACCGCGTGCACAGGAGCGAGTTCCTGAAGCCACGGAAAAGGTTGAGTTCGACTGACCACGGGGGCTCTCGCTAGGTCCACTTCCAACCAAACAGTGCGTCTGAGTCGACTGCAGGATTGTTTAGCGGTCGTCTGCCTTCCATATCATACTCCATACCACTTCGCGATCTTGTTGAGATGTGTTGCCTCTTGTTTCTCTGCACACTACTACAAACCACGGTTTCTGGACGGGGGCATGTCTTCCACGGGCATTTAAGGACCAACTCTATTCCCGCACCGATGAGCGCGATCCAGCCTTGCTCTCTGTACCAAGTGTCCAGACTTCCATTCGAGAAGGTGAGGTTCTTCTCCTGTTGCAGCGCAGGGGTTGGGGTGGTCCCAAAATGGTCCCTGCTACATTACTATAGCCATGGGGCCCAACCCTAGGTTGAGACTCGAAAGTTCTTTGCTGAGGCTTCGTAGCCATGTAGATCCACAGTCCTTGAAACTTTGTGAAATCTTCAACACTAACCTGTAGGGCCATAAACCCTAACTTGAACCCTGGGATCTCTCAGTCTCCTCACAATCTTCTGGGCATCCCGGAAAAGAGCTGCCAACCCGCGCACTGAGCTGCTCCACCTGTGCACTGGATTCTAGGATACCATGTGGGAGTTTCCGAAAACAGGGACCCTAATATAGTACTCTAGATAGTAGGATCCTTATTGGTAGAAGGACCTTACAATAAGGCACCCCTTCGGTCCTTAATGGCTAGAACAGGGGTTTGGGATCCAATGTACTACAGTTACACTTGGGGGCGATCATGGGGGTACTACGAGCATCTTCCCAGCCCTATGCTAATCCTTTGGTTTTGATTTGAAGTTTAGGAGGCTGGCGTGCTGTCCAGAGTTTAGTGTTTGATCGTATAGCATCCTGTTATAGTATATTCAAGCAGCATACTTCTCGAGACAAGTCCTGCACAACAGTCGCGACAGGGGTTTCAGCAGTCAGTTGTCGTGGGATGCAACACTACGCGGAACAGAAGCGGGGGGCAGCGCATGCACTTCGGATTCGGGATGCGGCGAGGTCATATTGGAACACTTTCAAATTTCAGTGATGATAATTCCTATGGTGCCTCTGAGCTTCGTGAGAGGCCCGCCTTCATGGCATTCACGATGTTTCTTAGCGTGTTGATCTGCTCCTGCAGCGACCTGGCCCACAATCCCCGGCCGCGGATCAAGGCGCTTCGGTGAAAGCGCGGCAGCCGCACGCGTAGAGGGCGCACATGTCCTCTGCTTCCGGCGGATTTTCTGGCACGACGGCATCTGCCAGTGCGACACCTGGTTCGGGGCTCGGGGTTCTCAAGCAACCCGCACTTTGCGCCACACCACCTTTTTTGACCAGAGCTGATCGGATGCCTGGAGCTCGGCACTGGACATGCGACTCGGAGATGTAGCCTTGGCAGCACTTCGCGGGTGTTCTATCTCGGAGCTCCTGCAGCCGTGAAGGAAACTAGAATCTCGAAAAGCACCACACGAAGGAGTTACCAGTATGACCATGATCGGATCGTCTTGACTCCGGTCACAACACCCACTGCACCACTACCCCCCCATGTTCGACAAAGCCATTCAAGCGGCCTCTGCCAACCCAACTCAGACCCATGTTTCAAGCGAGAGCACAATCATGTGCCATGTCGCAAGTGCACAGCCTCAACCGCAGCAACCCTACATCGCAAGAGCCTCAAGCCCGAAAGGCCAAGAACTCAGCTGAACCCTAAACCCTAAATCGCCAAGGCCGCGGCTGGTCAGCGGGACACGCAAGGGGATGGCCATGGATGCAGACCTGCCACTGGGGCACTGAGAACTCTCCATGCATGGATCTCTTCGTTGGACTTCATGAGTTCGTGGCTCGCGGCTCGGACTTCAGGAGATTTTAGAGCTGAAGATGTGAGGCCGCCGGCTGGCAGATTGCAGGGGGCGTAAATGAAAAACTTCGAGCAACCGTGAGCAAGCTCACAAAAACTTGGAAAGCCCTTTCTGTAAACTCTTCCCTGCCGCTGCGATTAGCCTGCTTCCCTTGTTATCAATCGGACATTTCCATTGCTAGTCCAGCACCAGCAGCAGGAAAATCCATTTCGTCAAGGCACGCAGATTCGCGACGAGAAAAGGCTAGCGCGACAGGTGGCATTTAAAAAACTGAGAAAAACTATTGTATTTTCCCTGTAAACTACTCTTTATTACATATACAGATGTATATTTATGTCTTTATTTATATGTTATATTGTTTTTACATATACATATTCATATACATAAACACATAAATCTACAAATACATAAACATATACACATATACATGCACACATACGCATACACATTCAAATTTACTAGACACTAATTCTTGCCTGTTGGAAGCCGGGCCATTTTCAATACCTGCGGGGTAAGGCGCCGAAGCTTCATCCCAGACAATCGAGATCATGGCTCTAGGGAGTTCGATTCCGAGGGAAGCCATGACCACTTTGGGGTTTAGGCTTTTAGGGTTTGGGGGCTTAGGTTACTGACGTCCCTGTTTAAGCCCTGTTTGAGACATACTCATGCTCGGATACAAAAGGACGAAGACTCTCATCATATGCCCTGGTCATGCTGAAGCTTCCAAACAAAGTACGTTCATGCTTACTTGGAGCCTGTGGCTGTGGAGGTAATTCTGCTAACATCGGGCTGGAGCTGCCCTTCGACAAGATGCATACGAAATGAGGCCTTGGCAACATCCAGCACATATGATCTCAGCGATCTGGTCTAAATCCATTTGCTTCCGAAATTCTGTTCACGTTATTTTGAATCGTTGTGGGCAAACCTGGGGGTAATCAAGGCAGCCGAACTGGAATATGCACTCGTCGGTCGGCTGGAAGCTGGAGCCGTATACGTTGATCGGACGCCGCGAATCTGTACCTGGAACGTCTCACAGGCATGCTCTGCAGCCACCCAACCTTCAACTGAACTTTAGCCTGGTCATTTGCCCACAGAGCGATACGACCAACAGCTGCAACAAAGCCTACCCCATGTCTGTGTAACTGGCGAAAACTACCGTTCAAGTTGGCATCGTTGCCATGAGCGTTGCCATCAGGGCTTCCATTAGGTTGCTGCTCGGATACCGGTAGGAAAAGAAGCATCAATTTGCATCCTCAGTGTTGTCCTTATCAAGCGAGTACTTGTCATGTCGTGCTCGCAAGTCGAATGCATGTTGGGGCTTTCGCAATACGCTGGTATGATTGCCTTGCGTGTCCTCATGGCCATTCATGCTGCTCTCTGCACGGACTGAGTTTGAATACGGGAAAGAGCGACGATTGTTACTGTGATGGTGTGTCTGCTGTTCGCGGAGTGACCCGAAAGTTATGGAAAAACAACAGACCTCTGCCGTGCTAACACATTATTTGAACAAGTACTACTTAATTTCCTGTCACCATCATTATAATAGCTTTAGCCAGCAAATGTTGATCGCTGGTTCGAGGCCTCGAGGGTCTCCCACGCTGATCGCGATTGGCGTCACGTTGTGGATGACGGGAGGCTCGAAGAGCCTTTCACAGAAAATATCATCAACAACAACAACACCGGCGGTGGCGGCAGCGGCAGCGGCAGCGGCAGCAGTTGCACTAGCAGTAGCGGCAAGAGGAGCAGCAGGAGGAGCAGCAGCACCAGGAGCAGGAGCAAGCGCATGAATGCCAGTAATGCTACCAATACCGAGCACGTGTAGGAGTAGCACAGCTTGCCTAAAGCTCTTGCCTTGGACACTCTCGTAGCTCCGTGGTTGGACAAGCAGCTACCGCAAGGCTTTCAGCAGTCTTTTGTATGCAGGGCCTCAGCGAGAAGCCCGTGTCTTTTGAAGGCGATCCAGCGAAGGACACGAAGATGGAGGCATTCACCGCAGTCGGAGACGTCGGGGAACCTCGGAGCCAAAGGCGTTTCGAAGAACGGACAGACTCATGCCAAGCCGTGCGATGACGGTGGCGAATTGATGATGATGATGATGATGATGGTGATGATGGTGATGACGGTGATCATGACCACGCTGACGATGTTGACGATAACGATGATGATCATCATGATGATGATGTGGCGGTTACATGCAGGTGAGAAGTGGAAAGCCGCCCAAACATTAGCAAAGGAAGCGAAGCACTGAAGCGCTCCTTTCGGGGGCCCCCACGAAATCTCAATGTGGTGCTGTTGACTCGCAAGGCCTGCACAGGAAGTCATGTTCTGTGGCTTGCACTATGACAGCTACCGTACAACCATGTAGTGGAGATCGGCTTGCTCATGAGGTTCATCTTGTTGCACCTTGTTTTGCAATTTGGTGTTCTGGCCTGCATTTGGCCTCTATCGTTAAAGACATTGGCTGGGGCTTGCGATGGCTTACATGACACTTAGTGTTTGGGGTCAGGCTCTGGCTATACAAGGATGCAAGAAAAAGCGCATGCGGAAGATCGTAAGTTACAGGAGAGCGCGGGAACGAGACCTTCGGATCGGGTTGGACGGCTAGGCCTGTAACAGGTCAAAATCCTAGTCTTTGTGTGGGGGGGGAGGGAAGCTGTCCATGCCAACGATTGTATTTTCCAAAAAACAAAGGGTCACAGAGTCAGATGTGCTGCTCGAAGCGTCTCAACTGAACCGAGGCAAAACAACAGTAACAGCACACCCCAACAAACCATGAACCGAGTCATGATCAAACGTCCACCCAACACTCAAAAGCCCTAAACCCTCAACTCCAAACCAAACCTTCAACTCCAAACCCGAAACGCTAAAAGCCTCTCGGAAGAAGTCCCCGATCTGGACCTAAGTCTGCGGCAGCGGCAGGAAAGTTCCCAAACGAGCGACAGAAAGGAAAGGGGCCGTGTTGAAGTAGAAGAAACTCATATGGAGGTGTTTTGCAGGTACTCGCGGCTCCCCTTCTCGAGCCCCGTGCCGTGATCTTCAGTCCGACGGATCTCCTGGAACGAGCTTAGGGCCGCGCTTTTTGGAAGGGTTTCGAAGTTAGGGCTCTTGGGGTTTGGGGCTTCGGTTCTAGTTTTGATAGGTCTAGGATCTTGGGTTGCCGGCTTGATTTCAGATTCGTGAACTTCCGCCGCTTCAGAAATCAATGCCAGGCTTGCGGAAAGCCCACGCCACGAAGGGTGATCCACCGTGGCGAGGAGACAGAAGCCACCAGGGGTCTGAGCGACAGCGTGGAATCAGGTCTGCCGGGTAACTGGGGCTTGCGGTCTAAGCCCTGCCCTCGTGTGACAAGCAGGTGCAAGCAAGAAGCAGAAGCACATCGGCAATCTCAGCATCAGCAGGCTCGAAGTCTGAGGAAGGCACGCCATACTGGTGAATTGGGGCTGCTCAAAGAGTGCGATCGGACGCCTGCGAGACTCTGAGACGGTCTGCGGTACTTGCCTGAGGCTAGAACAACAGCTAGTTAACGTCACAGCATCGTGAGAGATGGAAAGCCGCGATTGAAAACGCCGAGAAGCCTGAATATTTCTGGGCATCCACACGCCAGACAGCCAAGGACCCCACGGTGCAAGATACCACTGCACTCCATTCGGGGAAACCTCGATGCGAAGGCTGTGCATGCCTCAGCAAGGGTCACTGAGTCTTGCCACTGCTGTCAAGCGTGAACCAAAGTCACGGAGCACAATCTGCGGCTGTGGCTGGGGAAGACGTGGCTGCTGTTCATAGGTCCACATCTGCAAAAACGGGGCTCTTGCTCTCCCTAAACCCCAAAACGAAAAAAACAACAAGAAGACCTGGGTAAGAGAGAGGACATGCCTAGACTAAACCCTAAACCCTAAACCTAAACCCTCTAAGCCCTAAACCCTAAACCTAAACCCTCTAAGCCCTAAACCCTAAACCTCAAACCCTCCAAGCCCTAAACCCTAGACCTCAAACCCCTCTAAGCCCTAAGCCCTAAACCTTAAACCCTCTAAGCCCTAAACCCTAGCCCCGAAACCCTAAGAACGTCCTCGCCTAGCCATGGTCAGGGAGAGCCAGCTCAGTGGGATGATGTAGGATCTCGCAGAGGGTCCCATCGATGTGACCTCGGAGTTCCCAACAAAAATCTCCAAGATGCCCTTCATTGAGGAATATACCTGACAAGGTTCCGAAACAAGGGATCTATAAGGGTTCTATAAGGAATTAAGGAATTTACATCTTTACATCATATCAGGGATCCTACTCTAATGACTGCAATATGCGTTTGATGCCTGGCATTCGTGTCCACATCGGGGCCCCCGGCTCTGCAAACAGATGGAGCGGACTGCATGGCGATGGCGACCTGGCGTGGGCTCCAAGATCCACCCGAGGCCTCTCCCAAAGGAGGCAGGGATGCTACGACTAAGATGCCAGCAGCTGCCGGCTCGATCGTGATGTTCACCTGTGGCCAGTCTGAGGAAAGCCGGGAGCAGACGTGACGCCAGAAAGGTTGCGACTTGCCGGCCTGGACAGCACCATCCAGAACAGCCTTGACTTCGGGTCGTTTGCGGCTTTGCGGTTTTGGCAAAGGGCAGCTATCAGGTACTGGTAGAGCTGATTCTCGACGACTGACCGAAACCCTCCGAGCAGGTGCAGCATCCCCACTGCAGCTTAGGCGCCACAAGAACCCCATCGATCTCGGACGTTCTTCTTGCATACCTTGCCCTCGGTCTTTTGATGCTCGTCAGGCTCAGTGTACCAGCTAGGCCATGCTGAGCCAGATGCAAGCCAGCATAGGTTTCTGTGACAAGATTGACGACCTGCAGCTTTTCACAGCCAGGATTGCTCATGAGCACTGCCGATCTCCGAGGAGCCAGCTGCCACAGCTGGCT